GAAGTGCTCTGCCACTGAATCATACCCCCAGTTCCTAAAAATCACCTTTTCTCTTAAAATATAAATTGAACATCACTAAATTTAGGCTCCTGGAAAGAAGTTAGACTATGAACACCGTGCTTGTGGTCACAATGCTAAGGTAAGACATAAAGAGCCTATTAGCTGCTTGAGTGGGGCTTGAAGGAAAGGAGAGAAATGCATGAAGAAATAACTTATTAGCTGAAAGCCTACTTGGGCTCATTCTTGTGGAGAACTGTGCAGACTGCTTCCGACTCACTCTCTTCTCTCTAGCCGTTGGCTTGTTATTTTCTGAGTCCATCTGAGCGGTGGTTATACTCAGTCAGTCCCTCCTGAGAAGAGTGATATTCTCTAATGGCATAACCCAGATCTCCCAGCTTCATAGATGTTGTCTCAAAAGTTTTTATTATTCCATGGGGAGATTCCACTTAACACAAGTGGTTTTGCCTTCCCAGTAGGATAGAGAACAGGCATACTCAAGACGACAATGCCATCTCCAATCAGGTAAAAACTGGTCATCAGAAGCAAAACAATTTAGCTCATTCTGCATCAAGGAGAGATACCTACAATTAACCAATAACAGAAACACAGCACATCTCTGGTTCTAACTGGCATGGAGCAATAACTAGAATGTTTAAAATGCCACTTACGAGAAGTATTAATAAATGTCGAGAAATGCTTCTCCAGGTGTAACACGAGGAAAAAATGCGTCAGGCCCAATGCTGATGAGTGTCTCGTAGTCTCTTGTCTAATCCTCACAATAGTCATGCATAGACAGGAAAACTCACCTTAAATAACCTGAGAGAATCACACAGCTCGTAGGCGACGTTGCTGAGGTTTGAGGCCAGGTCTGTTTCCATTAAACCTGGCTCCAGAGTCAAAGTCAGGTTACATATTTGAGTCACAGATCACTGCCCCACATATTCATCTTGTTATTGGAGAAGAAGAATAAGCAGGCACGCACGCATGCACGCACACACGCACACACGCACACTCAAACACTCACACTGTTTTATTTATGATTCTAGGATTGAACCTAGGTTAAATGTGAACATAATGAGCACTCTCTCCCTGAATTACAACTCCAATCCTAGAACAGGATAAACAAACCTCTCCAACAGCAGATACACAAGAACCACATCTCCGTTCTTGGGATCCCTACTTCCAGCTGTATTTTGTCTCTTAGCTTACATTTGTTTGCAAGGGAGCCCTTTGCTAGGGAAAGGGACTCATGGTGCTCTGTGTCTCTCCACTTCTTTCGTCTACTTCTCTTCTCCGGGCTGCAACATTGTGATAGTTACCATTCCTCAACTCCGCACACTCAAGGTTATTGCCAGCTCTGTAACTTCCTACATGGGAGAGTGTCTTTGAGCTAGAGAGCTCTCTGGTATAATCTTGGGAGGAGCCATGATGCAGAAGGTGGTAGAGCATGCCCTTTGAAGGGCCAGTTATTCACATGTTCTCTGACTTATAAAGGCAGATTGAGTAGCAGAGCAGTGTCCAGTCCATGTGGTCAGGAGTCCCACTCAGCACTAGCCGCTGCGATCTCCAGGAGGGTGGTGTTTCTTGTTGGTGGTAAATGTCCTTATAGTTGAGACAGAGGCTGACAGAGGAACTCAAAACCTTTCTGTAAAAGAAGGCTTTAAATAATTGTATTTAACTTGTTATATGGAAGAACCTTTCTCCATTACAAGAAAATAAAAATCGATAAAGATGGATGGAGTAGCAATAATCAGGACATGGTGAGGAGACCCCAGGATGCCTCCTGGAGTAACTCACTTCCTTTTCCACGACTCCTATCTTTTCATCCATTAAAGCAGGAAATTTCAGCAACCAGGTTTCTTCCTGCATGGACAAGCCATTGGTATGTGAAAGGTCAGGGAAGGCATTTCTCTGTGTGTTTTGGGAGCATAGCTCCTTCCTGGTCTTTTCTGGAAACCATGCTTCAGTTTGCCTCTGGATTCCTGGGGAATGACACTACAAATGGCCCCGGGTATCGCTGATAGACCCTCAACTGTCCTGATGTCTGTCTAAGGATGAAGCCATAACCAGATTCACGCACTTGTGGAAACTTTGTTATAAAATATGCCTTCTACTTAAGGAAATTCTGAGGAACACTGTCATTCTGTGCATGAAGAACTCATGCCATTTTCTGCATTTCCATAAACATGCTCTTGTGTTGAGCATCAGGTCTTGCTTAGGTGAGCATCTTGTTGAATTTTCACGGGTGCAGCTTCACTATCATAGACGGGAGACATCATCTCACAGCAGGGTCCTAGACCTCCGGCTCTTCAGTGTTTTCCCCTCTGCTGTGGTGGTCTCTGAGCCTCAGGTGTAGGGTTGCATTGTCGGCAATCTTTACGGTGTGCCAAGCCATCGGCTCACTACTTTTTCCTATTATTTAATGCAATATTTATAACCATTCTTGATGTAGAAACACTTTTTACTCCAACTTTACCAATGGGAACCTCATCTTGGAGAGGGTAATGTGACAGCTTGAGGTCATAAAACTACAGATAAGCTGCTTGAGCAGGTCGCCCGAGTCTAGGAATTAAGTTGACAACCTCTCAGTGCCCTGTAGCTGCCCATGGAGTCTTTATCTCCTTACACTTGACCAGCTTGGAGCAGCCAGTGATTAAGACACAGGGAACCGAAGTGCGAGTGTGTTCATCTACTCTCATTTCTGCTCAGGGTTCTCTCACTTCTTAGGATCCGTGCTATCCCCATGTATCTTGTATCCTATGTGCATGAGGCATTTCCTGTAACTCTTCCAAGAAGTGAATTCTGTCTTTGGATGAGATCAGTTCTTACTTTCAGTGAATCATGGATATACCCTCCTGTGTGATTGCTCCTACCAGGAAGCTAAATTTCCGATGTCCTTATTGTTCTCCAACCAGATTCAGTGATAAGTACTTACTGGGTATCTATTACTCTCAAGGTAGTTCTCAACGCCAGGAAAACAAAACAAACAAACAACAACAAAATAAAAACCCTCCATTTTCCCACTTTCTAGCCCAACACAGTTGTGTTCCTCTTATGATTCTTGAGTAAATTCAATATTTGAAAGGATTTCCTTACGATACTCACCACATGATCATTCTCTGTATGGATCCTTGAGCTTGATCCGCTTACAAATCCAATGTTTGCTATTCCCCGTTAGGTCAAAGGGCAGGGACGGATAACAGTGAGTGGCTGTCCCATCACTAGAGAGCCTAATTCACTGTAGCTTAAAGAGTACTGTCCTCATTTCAGATGGAACACCCCAAGTCAAGCCACAGACTAGGAAAGAGGCAGTGTTTGGTAAGGATACAGGCATGGTGTGGTGGTGGGGGTGGGGATGGGGGCAGTGCTCCTTCTCTTCCTATCTGAGGAGAAGAGTCCAGAGCTCTAACATCTTTAGGAAAGGGGAAGAAAGGAGAACAATGCATAGGACATATGTGTGTGAAGAAGCCATACTAATCTGTTGTTTTATATGATTACCTAAAAATCAATATTTGTTTGTTTGTTTATTATTAGGTATGTCCCTGTGTGTGCATGCATGCTGTAGTAGGCATGTGGAGGCCAGAGGACACTTCCAATCATCTGTCCTCACCTTCGACCACATGGGCTCCTGGAGATCAAACTCAGATATCAGGTTTGGGAGCAAGTGTCTTTGCTTTCTAAAGCCCTAAAAATTAATTAAAATTAACATTAGGAAGTAGCCAGCATGTCCCAAGTCTAGAGAGATTGGAGGGACAAGTGTCTAAATTACAACTCACATGTACCCCCATACATTTCATCTAGAAGCCACTGGTGGTGGGATTAAAGGGGTCAAGCAGAGCCCTGACCACACTGCAGCTGCATTCCAAAATTCTGCTTTGAGAGTTTTACTCTCTGTCTTGTAAATGTTCCCATTCTTTAAACACGCCATCAACTGAGAGGTGGAAATGTACAAATGGGATGGTTGAGTCGGGGATAGGGGAAGTGTAGCTAGAGTTTTCCTACCTTGCCCACAGTCAGGACAAATCTCTCTCACCCGCCAGTCCCACAGCCGCTCAGACCCGACCAAGTAAACACAGAGACTTATATTGCTTACAAACTATATGGCCCTGGCAGGCTTCTTGCTAACTGTTCTTATAGCTTAAATTAATCCATTTCCATAAATCTATACCTTGCCACATGGCTTATGGCTTACCGGCGTCTTCACATGGTTTTTGTCATGGCGGTGGCTGGCAGTGTCTCCTTCCACCTTCCTGTTCTTTCTTTTCTCCTCTCTGTTAGTCCCGCCTATACTTCCTGCCTAGCCACTGGCCAATCAGTGTTTTATTTATTGACCAATCAGAACAATTTGTCATACAGACCATCCCACAGGAGGGAAGGAGATGGGGAGCCTGCGGAGGCAAAGCCCCCCACTTCAGGCAGTAAGGACAATGAGGAAGTCAGCTCCAGAATCTTTCCAGACATCCAGCTGGGCTTGGGTTTCAGCTCCAGTGTCTGAAGATCTTAGCACATACAAGAACCTAAGCCTGCACACAGAGCAAGCATCAAAGCATGCTGATGCTATGAACTTTCCCTTGTATTTAAATCAACATTTAAAGATTCATGTATTCTAGCAAAAATACTTTCTTCACACATTCTTTTAAAATTCCCTCTAAAGCACCTCATCTATAATGGGTGTAAGAAATCAGAGAAAGGACTATTGACAACATCAAGCTTTCCAAACTCTGGTAATGGAGTTGCCTTTGTGTGCTGGATGGATTTGTTGTTCTTGTGTCTTACCTGCACTAATAGTAGAAGTTCAGGCTCACCAGTCACTTTGAGGAAGTACACTAGAGATGCTGAGGTGAGGGATGAGTTAGGTGACACTTTGACCCACAGTTAGTTCACATGACTCTGAAGTAAAGAAAGGGATGATATCAACTGTGAGTCAGTCAGGATTTCACGTTCACAGATCCAGGCTAAAGGGCTATATAAAGCGGACTTTAGGGGAACTTGCAGTAAGGGAGCAGAGTGACCAGCAGACTCTGCCGAAAGGACCTGCTCACAATGAAGTTCCTTGTGCTGATGGTGGTCTTGCAGGTGTCTGTCTCTGGGGCCATTCCCGTGAATGAAACAAAATTTGCTGAGGTAAGTATTGACAGGATTGCCCTGGTTGAGCCTGTGTCTGTAATATTTACTGAATTTGCAAGCTTTATTTTGAAAAGTACTATTTGATTTGAAAATTAGCATAAATAGCTGTTTTATTTTTGGCATGTTTTGTTTTCTATAGAGGAATGTCAAAATGAAGTGATGATTTAAAAGAATCTTATTAAATTGGTGACTAATTGTGCCATCTCCAAAAGCTTTAGGTGAATAATTTTAGCTCAATATTCTTGGACTACACTTAAGATGGAGCGCTGTATTTTGATTGCCCACCCCATTTTGTCCTTTGTTTGCAGTAGTAATTTAATGTCCATTAATGATGTGAGATTTGGGCACGGCGTAATCTACGCAGATGCTTCAAATTTTCATGATAGTTACAGCATGCCCCTCTATGCTCGTTTACCTCAGATGTTCATTCCTAAGTATTTTGAAACAAGATTTGAAAAAATAGTACCTTTTTATAATGAAATAAAATGGAGCCCCTATTTTCTAAAATTACATACACTCCTTTTTGAGACAGGGTCTGCTGTGTTGTCTAGTCTGGCCTTGAACTTGTGGCCTCAGGTGGTCCTTCTGTATTGGCCTCCTTAGCACTTGGCTCTATTTTCTAACCTTATTTTTACTTTGTTTATCCAAGTCTTCCATTGTGTCAAGATTTTCCCCAAAGCTGTGGCTCAAGTCCAGACCTTCGAGCATGCCAGGCACATGCTCTAACACTGAGCTACCTCTCCCAACTCAGGAAAGTTTTCATGCCAGCCTAAATGGCTATAAATCTATAGACAATATAGACTTTGCCACTTACAGTGTACCCTTATACACTAGATGCCAAAATGGTGCTAAAAACCCAGAGGCAAGTCTGAAGAAGCAGAATAATAAATAGTTTTCCCACTGGGCTTTTGGGAATCTGACTAATTATTTATGACATGTTTAAATAGCATAGGAAGTTAAATTTTTTTCTTCCTTGTAATTGATTGTCTCAATCATAATAATGTAGGCTGTGATGAGAACATCTGGTTCAGGAGCACCAGCCTGCTGCTGACTATGCTTGCAGGTCCAACGGAAACCTGGCAGTGGGCACATGTGCACCTCAACTATATGCATTACTTGTGTTTTGTCCAGGAGTACTTGACGAGATATTACAGCTTTCAAGAGGACAGAATTCTGAAGACAAAATCCAAAACCAATGGAAACACTCTAGAAGAAAAAATCCAGGAAATGCAGCAGTTCTTTGGGCTGGAAGCGACTGGGCAACTGGACAGCCCGACTCTGGTGATAATGCACACACCTCGATGTGGCGTGCCTGATGTACAGTATCGTATGGCAGTGCCAGGGAGGTCACGATGGATGAAGCGTCACCTCACCTACAGGTAATGTCAGTGTATGCCAGTGAACTCTACTTTCCCAAGGGTGTGGCTTCTAGAAGCTTAAAACTTTTAGTTACTAGAAAGTTTTAAATCTAAGAGTAGCCTCTGTAAGTTGTTAGCACTACAGCGTTCATTGTTTCCAGGCTGGTAGGGTGGCTCAGTGGAGAAAGCGCTTGTCATACAGCCATGAGGACCAGAGTTCGGGTTCCAAGAAGCCATGTAAAAGCCATTGTAGGCATGGTGGCTGCCTGTAATCCCAGCACATGGGAGGCAGAAATAAGGGATGCCCAGGGCAAGCTGGCTAGCTAGACTAGCAGAATCAGGTTCTCTGGTTTTAGTTGAGAGACCCTGCCTCAATAAGCAAAGTGGAGCGTGACTGAGGAAGACATCTGAGTCAACTGCAGGCCTCTACACACACACACACACACACACACACACACACACACACACGTACGCACTACACACACACATATGCACTACACACACACCTACACACATAGGAACTCCTTATCTCTAAGAGGAAAGTTGCTCACTGAAAGAAGACTGGCACTATTTGCCTGTCAGTCAGTCAGAGCAGAAAAGCTGCAAACAAACAGAATGAAATGATCCAATTCAGAATAGAGATAAGACAGGAGAAGTCTGCAGAATATTAAAGATAGATAAATGTGGAATTGGGGCACAATGGCTATTTGTGTTTATGAAAGTGAATCTTTCACAATAATTACTAGTAAATTATAAATAAGAGGAAATTAAATTACATTTTGATTGATTAGAAAAAGGTTTCCAAAGAAAAAGTGGTTTGAACTTCAACAAACTTGTTTTCACGTGGACTGTGAGTATGTGAGGAAGTTCTTCCTGCAAGCGTGTGTGCAGAACTGAGAGGCTAGAAGAGACAAGATTAACCCTTGGTGTCCTGGTTGTTCTCCTCGTTTTTTAACATAGGATCTATAATTACACACCTGACATGAAGCGTGAGGATGTGGACAACATATTTCAGAAAGCTTTTCAAGTCTGGAGTGATGTGACCCCTCTGAGATTCAGGAAGATTTATTCAGGCGAGGCTGACATCATGATACGCTTTGCATTCGGAGGTACAGGACCTGAGCTTCCCGGTGCCATTTGTCAGGCTGTGTGACAATCATTTACGACACCATGTGATGCACCAAGTGCTGTGCTCTGTGGTGCTGTCCTTTGTCATGCCGTGGGACAGATGTAGCTGACTAATGACGTTCTTTTGTTTTAAAAAGCTCATGGAGACCCCAATCCTTTTGATGGCAGAGGTGGTACAATAGCCCATGCTTTTTACCCTGGACCTGGTATCCAAGGAGATGCACATTTTGATGAGGCAGAAATCTGGAGTAAAAGTTCTCAAGGTAGGAGAGAAGAAAAAATGAAAACTAACTATAACTAAATTTAAGATAGGTTCTGATCTTGAAAGAATAGATTCTGACAAAATATTATAGTCTTAAATAACAAATTCTGATTGTTCACCTCTAAATCAAATTTAATATTTTATGTATTTAGTCCAATTTGTCCTCATTGCAAATCAGGGGTATTGGGTATGATTGTGTTAGAGATCGTCTGTAAGAATCATCAAGATTATATGAACAAGTTCTGTACTGTAAACTCTTGGAAAGGTGAAAGCTGCTGTTTGAGTTTCGACCAGTAAAATCTATAAACTTAAAAACAAACACTAATTCTGTGATTGATTATATGTTAACAATTTCTTAGATTCATGATGACCTGCAAAGATATTTATAGAATATTTACTGATCCCTGTGGAGAAGTACAAGCTCATATGTAGTCTTGGAGCCTTGCATGATCTTGGGATACCATTTCCAGAATGTCCAATCAATCAATTGGGACTATAACTCACCATCCCACTCAGATAATGGGGACTGAGGTTAACCTATTATTTATTATATATTATTTATTATTAGAGGTAATCCCTAGTCTAAGAAAATTAAGCCATCATCTCAACAGCTTTTCTAATATTTCTTGGAAATTCTCAATTATACAATTCATTTATGTTGAAAACATAGGGAGAAATTCAAGTGTGGTCTCTCCACCCTGGACGCCCCTTCTCTGGCTGATTTTTTTTTCATATGAGGTATAGCTATATTTTTACATATACCATGTCTGCCCCAGGAAGGTAGACACACATCTAAAGCTTGGACACACAGCCAAGAGCTTATCACTTTTTGGATAAGGACATTTTGAAGGCTGCAGGAGAATGTCATATATGATCCAGTACTTGCTGAACTACAAATCCTCAACCAGACATGCTCCATGTGTCTGAGTTTTTTTCCAGGGATATTTGGGGGCTGCTTGTAAGCTCTTCAAGTAAGAATGCTTTGGAGTTCTAATGGACCCTAGAAACATAAATCAATGCAGCTGCTCTCACCTGAAGAGACGAAATAAAAGTCAGTGGCAAGTCTGTGGAAAATCAGGGACTAGAACATGTACTATTGGCTCCTGGCCTTATTTTTAAAATTAACTTGACTCTATATTTTAAAAAAGGTGATTCTGAAAATTCTATGTGGCCCAGGCTGGCCTTGAACTCATTCATGGTTCTTCTACATCACCTTCCTGAGTTGGGATACAGGCATGCAGTACCATGCCCAGTATTGATGTATTGTTTTGAACCAGTAATGAAGAGCCTGATCAATGCTTGTTGAGTTTCTGTTATGGTGTTGAGTGATATTTTTTATTCTGAGACAAAAAGGGCAAATCCTACCCAGGAGCATATGACCTAACAGAAACAGCAGACAAGCAGAAAGTCCCTGTTTGAAGATCCGGACTGATGAGAGTTAACTTTACAAAACATTATGACCTTGAATTCCTAGGCTTAGCCAGTCCCCCTGTCTCAGCCTCCTGAATGGTTAGAACAACAGACACATAACATTGTCCCCAGCTTTAAGAAATGTGAGGTACCAAACATATCTGTGGCTTTTGTTTTGGAAGATTCATGCCAGAACATATTCCATTTGTCTGGCAATGAAATGGTCCACAACTGTAGACAATTTTGGCTCCAAAGAGACAGTTTCAGACATTTTCAGTTGAAAACAGAAGTGGGCACTCATTACCTCCACGGAGTGGTGCAACTAGCGATGTCTGAATGTCTGTGACAGAGGGTTGCTCTGACAATACTTCTGCAGCCTATAATGACAATATTGAGACTGAGAAAAGCTATTGGAAAGAGTGGGGAAGTAAGTAAAGGCTTCTCAAATGTTCCCTCTGCTGTGTTAGATGTTGTATTATTTCCTTCAAAATGACAAGACAATGGGCTGGCGAGATGGCTCAGAGGTTAAGAGACCACACTGAGCGTATAGAGGACCTGAGTTCTATTCCCAACACCCGGGTCATGCAGCTCACAACTGCCTGTAACACTAGCCCCAGGCAGATCCAACAACTCTGGCCTCTGCAGGCACCTGCACTCAAGTGGCACAGCACAGCACATTCACAGTGGGATGACATTCAGCCACTAAAGGATGGACTCCTATCACATGGATGGAACTGGGTTATGAGTAAAAAGATCAGGCATAGGAAGATGACAACCACACTGTCTCATTCATATTGAGACATGAGAAAAGTTAATCTCACAAAGCTGAGAGCAGAATGGCGGTTACCAGTAGCCGAGGAGAAAGGGGAGGCAGGTGGGTAATGGTTGATCCATTAGTACTAAGTCACAGTTAGGAGCATGGAGCCCTGCTCTTGGCTCTGTGGCGCAGCAATACAACTATAGACAATAATAGGGTACTATTTATTTCAAAAGACTGGAAGAAAGTATTTTGAGTGTTTTTGCCACAAATAAATGGTACATATTTGAAGAGATAGATACATTTATTCTGTCTTAAACATTATGCAGTAAGTGTAGGCATCAAAACATCACACAGTACCCCACAAACATGTACAATTTCATGTATGAATTAAATAAAAAGTGATAGTCTATTTTACAACTTTATTTTTTTACCTTCTTGCCTCTTAGACACAAACCTGTTCCTTGTCGCTGTTCATGAGCTTGGCCATTCCTTGGGGCTGCAGCATTCCAACAATCCAGAAGCAATAATGTACCCCAGCTATGGTTTCCTTGACCCCAACACATTCCGCCTCTCTGCTGATGACATACGTAGCATTCAGTCCCTCTATGGTAAGTCAAACCTCATAATTTGCTGTACAAGGCCATGCATGTTTATGAATAATCTCTGATATCTATATTTGGAAAATTTGATTATCTCATTTTGAAGCCTGTGTGTACCCTGTGAGACAGGCTTCAGAGACACTGTCTTCATTTTGTCTCACGTTTGGAATGTTTCCTAACAGTGGTACCACGGCTCTGTTGATTGGGCTTCCAGAGAAAGGAAATTCAATTATTCTTGTCCGTGATGATGCAGCTCACCGGGACAAAATCTTCTGGGCATGCTTCTCATGAATTTCATAAGAAACACAACTGTTTTTTATTTTCCTTCAAGAAAAAGAATATTTAAAAAGGCTAGCTTTTCCTTTTACAAAATTCCCCCAAATGAACATCAAAATGTATTTTCAGGACCCCCAGTGAAAAAACCATCCTTGGCAAATCCTAGCAGTCCACCATCAACTGTCTGTCAGCAAAGCTTGAGGTTTGATGCTGTCACAACAATGGGAGATAAAATCCTTTTCTTTAAAGATCGGTATGATTATTTTCATATCTAATCAATGTTATGGGCTGTATGGTTAAATTTGTTAGTTTTTTAAATTTGTTTGTTATGGTTTTTTTTTTTTTGTCAGATTTTTGAAAGGATGTAGATCAAATTTGTAAGGCAGGAACATGGACTTGATTCCCAAGTTTTGGAGACATCTTAGATTTTTGAAGAACTGGCATGATGTTGTTTGTGTTAACTAGGAAGCTAGTGTGTGAAAAAAATTAAATTTGTAGTAGGAATCTGGCTGGAAATTAAAAGACAGGAAGTGGAGAAGCCCAGGTAAAAATGGTGAGGTCTCAGTGGTTGGGGAGATGGTTCTGTTGGCAAGGTACTTACTTGGTGTTCAAAGAAGAGGACCTGAGATGAATCCCCAGCACCCACATAGGAATGTCTGGGGCAGCTGCAGACTGTGAATCCCAGTGCAGGGGAAGGACAGCAGGGTCGCCGGAGCTTGTGGCGTCTAAACCAGTCTCATTGAACCCAAAAGTTCCAGGCTCAATGAGAACACATCTCAAAAGATAAGCATGGGACAGTGGTTGAGGAAGAAACCTGTGTACAAACATACATACATATACATGAACACCTACACACACACACACACACACACACACACACACACACACACACACACGCATGCACACACAGATAAAGTCTGGAATTAAGGCTTTGAAAAAGCTCCTGTGTTGGCTTCCTTGCATACTTGGAGAATTCCAGAATGACTCCCAGTCTCTGTTTTGGAGCAGAAATGGAGACAGATGCTGGGTTGTGGGGAAGGCAGTGAGAAAAGCTAATGTGTGGCAGTCAGGATAGATGCTTCTTCTTTTGAGATTATAAAACAGTAACTTCTTCCATTTATAAAACCAACTAACAGGTTGTGAGACCTCACTAGAATCTTAGATCCCTGGAGTCCAGGTTCTGGGTATTTCTTTTTTTGTGTTTCCTGTTTAAGTCATTGTCATTATCTGAACTGATTAAAGTTCTCTTTCATGGTGCTGTTATGCAGAAATCCAAGGAATAGAGTATGAAAATAAACACTGAATCATTTCACAAGTTCCCATTTGTGTTTTGAAGAATGTGAGTCTACAGCAATTTTTCGTATGTATTGAATGCATTTCCTGCCAGGTTCCTCTGGTGGAAACTTCCTTGGAGTCAAGCCACCAACGTCACTACAATCTCTTCCATGTGGCCAACCATCCCATCTGGTATTCAAGCTGCTTGTGAGACTGAAGGCAGAAATCAACTCTTTCTTTTTAAAGGTAACTCTAATGCTTGGTTCTGCCACTGAGAACACTTTAAGGAAAAGAATCAGTGAAGGAAAGGGTACCACTTTTTGTAGATAGAGACTAAAGACAGCACTCTAAATTTCTGTAATCATGGCTCTGAATGGTAAGTTGACGTACAAGCTCAACTATACAAGAAATACGCCCAACCTTTGGGATAGGTTATGAAATATGAGATGATGGAACTTAAAAGCATCCAAGCTATAGAGCCACAATAGGTAAACCAATGACTGAGAACAAAAACAGAAACATTTCTCAGTCACAGAGAACCTGCTTACCATGGATGGAATCTCAGGGTTACCCCCTTCCCACTCCAGCACAAATAAAATTAATTTGAGAACTCTGCACAAGAGAAATGTTTTATAGTAAGTCAGTATTTTTATTATTATTATTATTTTGGTGCGACTCTGTTGTTCCCTCTGTCTTTGTCCTCACAGATGACAAGTACTGGTTAATAAACAACTTAGTACCAGAGCCACACTACCCCAGGAGCATATACTCTCTGGGCTTCCCCAAGTCTGTGAAGAAGGTCGATGCAGCTGTCTTTGATCCGTTTCTCCGAAAGGTCTACTTCTTTGTGGATAAACAATGCTGGAGGTGAGGCCCCATGGCTGGTACCCTGCCCACTAAGGTTTGTGAGCAGGCACAGGACGGAATTTCCAGAAGGCAGTTTTTCTATGACAGTTTCAAATACCTTTGTCTTTCTTGGGGGGGGGGCAGCAAGAGGGAATGGGTCTAAAACAGTCACTGTCTGCCTGGTTCTTTTCTCCGAGCCTTTGGTTTCTGAAATATTTTCATTCTGGAGAGTGTCTGGACTCCAAGACTCCTTCCGGTAACTGGTGACCCCAGAACACAAAATAAGGAGCCTGCCCTTTGAGTGACAGAGAGGCAGGGGGAGACGAGGAGCTCATTCCAGTGGTAGCCTGGTTGTCTTACCTAATATCGAAGGAGAGGAATCATCGTCCCTGTCCCCTTCTGAGGAAAACAGTCAGGAGCTGCATTGCTTGCATGTTGACATAAGACATGGCAGAGAGTACTAAGATGGTAAAACCTCTGTGTTTTCTTGAATCTTTAAAATTCAAAATCTCATTTCTACTGAACGTCACATATTTGCCACATAAATTGGTCTGCCAACTTTAGCCTTCCTTGAGAAAGAGGACTTGTGATTTCACCAAATAAGACTTTCTGGAGAGGTGACAAACAGGTATAATGTATTGCAATCCAACATTCCTAAAAATTCATCTGATGACAGGCTCCCCTTTACACTTCCAACCGACCAAAGAATTTCCTTTTCCTAAATGCCAGAGGACCAGTGTCGAGCAAGCAACAGCTGGAGAACTAAATCGAGTGGGAAATAAGATAACAAGCATATTCAGTTGCCATGTGGAAGTCTAGAGAAAACCGACTCTTTTCACACAGTGGTAAAAGAGACTTTATAGGGGAAAAGTACAGAGACAACTAGCCAAACTAGTGGAAACACATGAACTGTGGACCACAAGCTGAGGAGCCCCCGTGGTACTGGACTAGGCCCCCTGGATAAGCAAGAAAGTTCTTTAGCTTGAACTGTATTGGGGGCCCAGGCAGTGGGATCAGGGACCTGTCCCTAGTGCATGAGCTGGCTTTTTGGAGCCTAGTGTCTATGGTGAGACACTTTGCACAGCCTTGGTGAAGGGGGAGGGGCTTGGACCTGCCTCAACTGAATCTACCAGGCTCTGCTGACTCCCCATAGGAGGCCTTGACTTGGAGGAGGTGGGAATGGGGGTTGGGTTAGTGGGAGGAAAGCTGCGGGGGGGCAGGAGGAGGGAGGAGAGGGGTATCTGTAGTTGGTATGTAAAATGAATAGAAAAATCTTTTAATTAAAAAAATAAAGTAATGCACTAGAGTGCATATTAATTGAAAGAGAGACTTTATGGACATACTAGGACCTCACTCTCCAGTGTGGACATGATGTGTTTCACTTTTAGTTTTTCTTTAACATGGATGTTCAAAACCTGTTGGTTCTGTGACTCTTTAGCCCTGCTTCTTTTCACCATGGGAGAAAATCAATAATTATGTGTCTTGCTAGAAAGGATTTTCAAAAATGGTGACAGGCAGCTAAGTCATTGGGCCAGTGAGTGCTGTCACACAAGTACCACGCCCTCTTCAATGCCGAGCTGCAGGGGACTCTGGGAGGGTGGAAGAGTTTGACTGGAGTCACCGTCCAAGTTTTGACTCCTGTGGTAACTTAGGGAGAATCAGCCAACTGTTTCGGTCTTTGAATTTTTCATGAGTACATTTACAACACTTTCAGGAAAGATGAATATCTGCTTCGTGTTGATGAAGTCCATATTCTCATTGTGCTCCTGCTGGCTATTTCCTCCCACAGGTATGATGTGAGGCGACAGTCCATGGACCCTACTTACCCCAAACCTATTTCTGCACACTTCCCAGGAATTGGGCCTAAAATTGATGCGGTGTTCTATTTCACAAGTAAGTAGCTGGGGAAAAGATTAGAAACCACATTTTCAAGTACGATGATGCAGACTGGGGTCCAGAGTGGGTGTAAGGTGCTCCAGTTCGTGGTGTGAATATGTTCAACTTCAGCCTGAGCAAACGTGTCTGTTGGTGTCACAGAGCTAAGACACAGCCCACGTTGTGTGAGATGTGCTGCACAACACATTTGACAGGAACGGAGATCGGCATTTGTTCCTTCTCTCCTGAGTGGACCAACATTTGAAAACAGATCTGAGTTCTCCCTAGCCTTTTCCTCCTTCAGGATCCCTGTGTGCTTGACCTGGACCCTGTGTCCTCTCTTGAGACCTCCACCCAGAGAGTGACTAGCTGGGAGTGAGAACAGGGTGCACTGACAAGGGCCCCAACATTGACATCTCAATCACACCTTCGGTAGTCCAGATAACCTTTAAAATCAGCTCTAAGTTTTAAAGAAACACAAGGAAGGATTAAAGGATTGGGTTTGTTTCCATTTTAGGACGCTATTACATCTTCCAAGGAGCCAATCAACTGGAATACAACCCCCTACTGCGTCGGGTCACCAAAAAGCTGGAAAGTACAAGCTGGTTTGATTGTTAGGAATGATGCAGTTAAGAGTGTTGGCCAGTTCTTCAGTTTAATAAGTACTTAGCACATGTTCACCGTGTGCTCAAGGTGTAACTGCATGGCGGATGTAACATGAAATAAGGTGAGGTGTACAGGCCACAGCTAAATATTTACACAGAAAAATGCTTTCTACAAAGTTTAACCTCTTTTGGTACATTTTTCACTTGATTCAATTCTTAATTTTGAAATTAGCTATCTCCAAAGGCAGCCAGGTTTGTCTGTAGGTGTTTTCTAACAACCACAAGTGGGAAATTAGAATTACTTCCTTGTCTTTACTGAAATTTAATATGTATTATTTTGTCAAATAAATTTAAAGAAAGTAGTTGGCTTTTGATTTTTTCTTTAGAAAATGTGCGTGTGCGTGTGCATATGTGTGTGCGTGTGCGTGTGCATATGTGCGTGTGTGTGTGTGTGTGTGTGTGTTGACTGCATGTGTGTATGCGCACCACGTGTGTGCAGTGCTGGAGAGGTCGGAAGAGGGCATCCGATCCCTAGACACCGGGGTCACAGGTGCTTATGTGCAGCCTTGTGAGTGCCGGGGCTTGAACCTGGATCCTTGGGAAAAGCAGCTGTACTCTTAGTCTCTGTGTCGCTGCTCTGGTCTTGGGGTTTTTAATATTTTTCTTGAAAAACAGAATGAATTTTGAAAATAACTCTGGCTCCCAAATAAAAAGTCTTTCTGTGACTCCTATACCAAGGAGTCAATCGCGATGTGACAGCAACAAAGAGTTGGAACTTAAAGTCCTTCTGATCAATTGTGTAAGGACAGCGTTTAATCCTAAGACAAGGAAGCATTCTCTAGCCTGCACATGACCCCAAGAATAACTGAGAGGAGGGGGGGATGGGATGGGATGTCCGTTCTTGTTAGATGTGTTGTGTGGCTCACTGCACACCAGAGCGGCTGCGCCATCGCTGTGTGACCTTACAGGACACTGGCCTCCTTAAATATAGGAGGAAGTGTGGGTAGCACACACCTCTAAGTTTGTTGTGAGGAGAAATACAACCTGGTGGCCCCTCGTGCCTGTGTCCTGTATTGCCCTGACACCTAGGCTCCCTGTCCTCTCCACTGTGCATGCTGTAGTGCTCGCCTTTAAAGCTTACAAGTTTGTGAAATATGTCCAGTCTTAAAACTGACTGATATATGGCCCCAGATACAAAAAGCCCTCCATAGCAGATGAAGAGTGAGCTGAGCTGAAGTAATAGGGATGAGGGGAAGGGGCTCCTTAGCCTTCACATCTCAGATGAGTGTTGATCATCATCATCAGCTTGATGGGATCTGGGATCATATAACAGAGCCATGAGGATCATCCAAAGAAGACAGACTGTGGGAGGAATTCCCGCTTTTGGAATGGATGGCAGGCTGACTACATTAAATCACACCCATCGTGGAAAGAGCAGCACTTCGTCCTTACGAGGACAGAGACTTAAATTCTGGTTACAGGTTTGCATTTCATGTACATAATGCTTCTGCCCAAACTATCGCCCAGGGACTTACAGAACACCTTATTCATCATCATGGTGTTCTGCACAGCATTGCTTCTGACCAGGGAACTCATTTCACGGCCAAAGCAGGATGGCAGCAGTAGGTCATGTTTGTGCTCATGCAGTTCACTGATCTGATAATGCTCCATACAGTCCTGACACAGTTGACATGATAAAACACTTGCTCCCTAGGCTGCTGTAAGCCTGTGGTTAATTTCTAGATTTTTTTTTTCTTTTCAGTGTTAGTGATGAACCTAGGGCCTTGTGTATGCTAAAAAGGCACTCTATCTTCAAGCTACATCCTCACTGTTATTAAGATTCTGAAAAAGACGGCCGGGCGTGGTGGCGCACGCCTTTAATCCCAGCACTCGGGAGGCAGAGGCAGGCGGATCTTTGTGAGTTCCAGGCCAGCCTGGG